AGAGAACTAGTCTATCGTCTACCCACGTGCATGAATATATCCGAATCTCATGCAACATAAGACTTATTCAATCTAACATAAAAAACCCATAATAAACCCTCCCTTAAACTGAAAATGGTTTCCCATTCAGTTTACATTTCGATTTTCCTTACTCCAAGCAAATCTCGCATTTTTTCGTACACCTCCAACTTAACTGGCTTGGTCATAATGTCAGCAACTTGATTCGCAGATGAGCAAAACACTATCTGCACCTTTCCTTCACTTACCAAATCTCTAAGATAGTGAAACCGAACATCTATATGCTTTGTTCTTCGATGCATGACTGGATTTTTTGTCAGTTTTATAGTAGAACTATTATCGCACATAATGTTAACCGTACCAACCGAATCATTCTTTAACTCTTCTATTAATCCTTTGAGCCATACACAGTGACATGCACAAACAGTGGCAGCCACATATTCTGCTTCTGTGGAAGAGAGTGTGACTATTTCTTGCTTCCTTGAACTCCAACAAATAGCAACATTACTTAAAACGAATGCATAGCCTGAAGTACATTTTCTATCCTCCAAGTCTCTTGCATAATCACTATCCGTAAATACTTCTAATTTTGTTTCATCACACCTTTCATAAAACAGCCCAAAGTTGTAAGTTGCTTTCACGTACCTTAGAATTCGTTTGTTTAACAACAAATGTTCTTCACGAGGGTCTGCCATAAACCTTGAAATGAAGCTCACAGCGTACATGAGATCTGGTCTCGTGACCGTGAGATACATTAGACTGCCCACGAGCCRTTTATACATGATGTCATCCACCTTCTTGCCCACGCCAGCTTTAGTTACTATTGTTCCCGGCACAATTGGGTTCTGACTCCATTGCATTCCCACAAATTGAATCGATCCAACACTTCCTTAGCATACTTCTGTTGATACAAACTAATTCCTCTTGCCTCTTGATTTATTTCAACCCCCAAAAAATATTTCATTCTTCCCAAATCAGTCATATCAAATTCCAACATCATTGAATTTTTGAACTCCATGCACATCTGTGGGTTATCTCCTGTGTAAATCAAGTCATCCACATAAAGATTTACTATAACAGTTCCTGTAGTTTGCCTTTTGATAAAAAGAGTGTGATCAAATTTGCTCTTTTCAAAGCCTGCTTTCAAAAAATATTGTTCAATTCGATTGAACCACGCACGCGGTGCCTGTTTTAAGCCGTAAAGAGCCTTCTTCAATTTGTACACTTTATGCTCCTCGCCTTTCTTGATAAATCCTTGGGGTTGCTGAATATACACCGTCTCCTTTGGCGTACCGTTAAGGAACGCACATTTGACATCCAACTGTTGTATCAACCAACCCTTTTGAGCAGCTATGGCAAGAATGCAACGAACCATATCCCATCGAGCCACCGGGGTGAAAACTTCGTCATAATCTATGCCCTTTTTCTGAGCATAACCTTTCACAACGAGCCTCGCCTTGTACTTATCCACTTCACCTTTCTCATTCAATTTTGTTTTGAATAACCATTTAACTCCAATTGGGGTTACCTCGGCAGGAGCATCAACCAACTCCCATGTTTCATTTTTCATAATGGACTCCATCTCTTTCTCTATAGCCTTTACCCATTTAGTTTCTTTAACAGCTTCATCAAAAGTTGTTGGGTCTTCCATCGAACTAAACATTGCAAGTTCTGCTTCATCACTTGACAAACCCTCCCCACTTTCATAATCATGCATCCAAGTAGGCACTGATCTCGTTCTTTTTGAGCTTTCACCAGCTAGTTTGACTTTGAGGATCACATGGTAGTACAGTAGGTGTACTAGTTTGAATAGTTGGTGAAATATTACTTTCTTGTGAGCTGTCCCTTTCACTGTTGGTGTTGCTTATTGCATTAAATAAGCCATTATGAGAGCTAGAGTGACTAGGATTGGAACTAGGATTGGAACTTTGATTTGTCACATCTTCCACATCTTCCTGCCCATCTTCGAGATTTGCTTCATGTGGTTCCAACATGTCACTTTCATCTGCTATAATTAATTCAGAAGGACCAAAGTTTTGCTTATTCCAATACCATATTTCCTTCTCATCAAACACCACATCTTTACTGATGATGATCTTTTTTTTTATTAGGATCATACATCCCATATGCCTTAGACTCTGCACTAATTCCCAAGAAAATACACTTTTGACTTCTGTTATCCAACTTGGTTCGATGTTGAGAGGGAACATGGACATACCCAATAGATCCAAAGATCTTAAAGTAATCCACATTTGGTTTGTGACCAGACCAAATTTCTTCAGRCACCTTTTYTTCTACTGATGTAGTAGCACATCGATTTAAAATGTGACACGCCCAGTTTGCAGCTTCGGACCAAAAACATTTTGGCATTTGTTTATCAATTAACAAACACCTAACCATATTCATTAACGTTCTATTTCGCCTTTCGGCCACCCCGTTTTGCTGTGGAGTGTACCCCGCAGTTAATTGCCGTTTAATGCCAGTCTCCTTACAAAATTGATTAAAATCATTTGAAATGAACTCACCACCCCGATCACTTCTTAGACTTTTAATGGTCARCCCAGTTTCATTTTCAACCATAATTTTGAAATACTTGGATAGTTCTAGGCATTCATGTTTATGTGATAGAAAGTACACCCATCCCTTTCTAGAGAAATCATCAATAATGACCATCACATACCTCCTTCCACTGGATGATGCAGGCTGAATGGGTCCACATAAGTCAATATGTAAAAGTTCCAGCTTAGAGGAGGCTCTCCATAAACTCTTCTTTGGGATATTTTCTCTCTGTTGTTTTCCCAAATTACAGACTTCACATACTTTAGAAGATGTGGCTATTGATGGCAATCCCTTCACCATTTGACGAAATTGCATGGTGCGTAAAGACTTGTTGTGTACATGACCTAGCCTCCTATGCCATGTTTGACCATTTGGTTCACCGATCACTTGCAGACACTTGGTTTCTTTGGCTGTTTTTGTGGCCTGCACAATAAACATCCTATTTCTTGTCATAGTAGATGTAGTGATTACGCCACGTCGAGGACGATAAATTTTGCAAACTCCTCGACGAATCACCACTGTTAGGTCCTTCTCCTGTAACTGCCCAAGACTTAACAGATTTGAGGTGAGATCTGGAACGTAATAAACACGAGTTATTACCTATGTGATACCCCCAGCTTCAAGCGGATATCACCAATGCCCTTTACTGATAAACGAAGATCATTCCCTAATTTTACACTATGTGTAAAATTTTCGTCAAGATTTATGAACCATCCACGACAGCCTGTCATATGGTTCGAGCATGCGGAGTCAAGAAACCAAATACCTGTGGTATGTTCTTCCTTCACGACGGCGTGAGTCATCAAAAGAAGATCTTCACCCTCGTCAAATTCTGCGTAATTAACCGGCTTCTCACCACGATTACACTCGTAGGCAAAGTGTCCGAATTGATGACATCGATAGCATTCGATGGAGGACTTATCGAAATCAGACCTCCCACGTCCGCGTCCGCGTCCGCGTCCGCGTCCGCGACCTCTTCCTCTTGCACCCGACCCCCTTCCTCGACCACGACCACGCCCGGTGGAAGGGTCGACTTCAGTCTGTAGAACTTGATCATCAAGGGTGGGTTTCTTAGTCAGTTTCTGTTCATGAACGAGCAACGAGCTCTGCAATTCATCGACCGATAAACGGTCGATATCCTTGGATTCTTCGATGGAACAAACAACAAAATTAAAGTTGTCAGTCAGGGATCGTAGAATTTTTTCAACAACTTTCACATCATCCATATCTTCACCGAAATTCCGCATAGAATTGGCCACCGTCATGACACGGCCAAAGTAGTYGGTGATTCCCTCGCCGTCTTTCATCTCCAAAGTCTCGAACTCCTTCCGCAATCGCTGCAACTGGGCCCGCTTAACCCGCGTATTACCTTGGTACTTGTTCTTCATCGCCTCCTAGATCTGCTAGGCGGTGTCTTTCTGGGTCATAGTCTTGATAATCTGCTTATCAATGGACTGGAACAAGTAGTTTTGGGCCTTGAGATCTTTGAGACGCATCGTATCTAACTGGGTCTGTTGGGCAGAAGAAAGAACTGCTCCTTCAGCCGGTTCTTTATAACCTGGGTCAATGACAACGCAATACTCCTTGGATTTCAACAGAGTCTTCATCAAAAGGCTCCAATGATCATAGTCGCCGTCAAACTTCGGAACACTGGAACCTGAAAGTTACCGTTCTCAGTAGCCATGATAACACACTCAACTCTCCCAGATGTGCTCTGATACCACTTGTAATGGTATATAGTAGAACACAATTGAATCACTCAATATCTGGTGGTTTATTCATTAAATGAAGCATGCTATAAATAGCTTACAAGAACTAACNAGAGAACTAGTCTATCGTCTACCCACGTGCATGAATATATCCGAATCTCATGCAACATAAGACTTATTCAATCTAACATAAAAAACCCATAATAATTCGCAGAAGGCCCAACCTATATCTCTGAACTAAATCACACAGTCACTGATTAATACAAGGACCAAGGATGAGAAAATGATATACTTTAGATCATACATCATATAATGAGAAGATGATCTATGACAGGACCTATAGCTAGCGTAGACGGGAGTAAGGGAGCTGGAGAGGTAGAGGTTGGGGGTAGGGTTAGTGAGCCGGCAGATAGGTTACTGGAGTCCTAAGATAGAGTAGAGGTTGTGTAGTTTCTTACCTTGCTTGTGTTTCCTTGTAACTTCGGTTTTTTTATGTTGCTTACCTCTATTTAGTCTTGGCACTTATCTTTTTTCTTTTTCAAAATTTTGGCGTACCTTCCTTTCTTGTCTCATGTGCTTCTTTTTCCCTGTTTCTCATACACTTTTCGTAAGCCGGAGATTTTCACGGAATCAGCCACTCTACTCTTGGGATAGAGGACATGTTTGCGGTCTGCATACATCTTACCCTCAGACCCTAGCTCCGAGTGGAATCTACCAGGCTCTTTTGGTTTGGTAAGATGACATATAACACAACTAATGGAACCCATAGAATATTTGTATTTGTGCAGAACACAGTTATGATTGATGAGTGGTGGGTGATGCACCAAATAAGATGGCTTGAGCCTAATTATCTCTCAATTATGTTATACCTTGTGAGAATATGTGGAACCCTCAAATTTACTCTCCAAAAGTGTCCTTGAGGAGGAACGGAAGGTTCCAACATATATAAAGGCGAAATGGTTCAAGTCTAGCCAATGTAGGACTCCAACACGCCCCTCCAACAGATGCTAGATGGACACAGATTGTCCCAAAGTGTCGAGAGGGGACTAGCCAGAGTGTCAGGTCCCTAGAGTAGTAAACCTTGGCTCTGATACCATGTGAGAATATGTGGAACCCCCAGAGTTACTCTCCAACAGTGCCCTGAGGAGGAAGGGGAAGTTCCAACTTCCAACATATATAGAGGAGAAATGGTTCAAGTGTAGCCAATGCAGGACTCCAACATACCTTTGAGCAAAAAAATCTCACCAATTACCTTCTACAAAGCTCAATTTCTTCAGTGCAGTCCACCTTTCCCAGAAGGATACGCCCATCTCCTGCTGGATTGTGTCTGGGGATGCAGATAAAAGAGAGCAGAAAGCTAAGAACCAGAAAAAATGTGCACCATTCACAGAAAAATTTGTTCTTGAGAAATATGGGAAATAATTTAGACCTTTGTCTTATAATTCTGGCTGCTTTCTCCCATGAGGGTTTCTAGCATAGAAAAGCAAAGGATGAATGGAAAACAAATGTTACACAAGCTAATATTGATATCGAACTTATTGATGCAAATAGTTGTTGGGATAAACATGTAGCTTTAATTCAAATGTGCAAAGTTGAAATAAACATATTGCTGAATAAGTGAAGTACTAAAGCCTGCCACACTCAGACAAGGACTTACCCCAATAATGTTATTGTTGAAACTAGTAAAATACAACTTATTTGATGAGTAAATATGATCCGGGTTACTCGCCACTCACATACGAGGGGGGACCTTAAAGTGTTATATGGTATTAGAGCACACCTATATCATGCATGCAGGCCCAATGACGCAATGCATAATCTCTATCATCCAAATGACACGTACATTTGTAAACCTTGAAAAAGGCTACAAGTGAGAAAACCTGTTAAGACTACAGATCTCAAATTGGGAACATACAACTTAGGGCTTCACACTTTCTACATTTATCTATCTGTACTGTAAATGGATTTGTGATATTAATTTATCATCATTGTAACATATTTAAGTGTTGTAAGATGTAATAAGCGATGGTAATGAAATGATAAATGTGTTCAACAACAATATTTTATTTTCAAGCAAGTAAAACGAAAAAATATATAGAAATTTTGTTTTTTCTAGCTTGGATACCTCAACCTCATCAAAGTCAAATAATCAAGACATGTTTTTGTCCGTAAACCAATTTCATGCCTATAGACTAAATAAAACCATAAAAACCTAGTATATCTCACTCGAAAGCAAGGTCTTTGAGGGGTGGGTTGTACCCAAAGGGTAGAGTGGCTGTTTCCATGAAGACCCCCATGTTGTGCAAAATGTAAGCGAAAAAGAAATGGATATGAAAAGAAAAAGAACCAAGACTAGTAAATAGTAAGCAACAGAAAAGAAAAAAAAAAGGAAATAGACACAATGCAATGTAAACCGTGAAGACATCAAAATCAAGTGCACAATTTTTCACAAACATATTTAGACCAATTTTAATTTTCGCAAAACATAAATGATTTCCAACCAATCAAACACAATTTTTCATTTTGGTTTAGACCGACTCAAAAAACATAGATGGAAAACCAAAAATGAGAACATGGCCAAACAAAGCCCTATGTGATGAGCATATATGATATTGAGTTGCTCCATTCATTAACAATAGATTTGAGTTGGAATCTCAAAGTTTTCGTAGTTACTAATGGGAACTGGCATAAAATTAGTTCTTAGTTAAAAAAACGTCAATGAGCAGCAGCACCATAAAACATTTTCAAGGATGGACGAACAAGTAAATCAAGACAATATTGCTCAAGCAAGAAACCTCAACCTTAGTCTACTCCATGTCTCTCAAATAAAAGCAACAATATTCCTTTCTAGGATGCTCTAAGATAATTGCAACATTTCCTTTTGGCAAAATTTCAAGCTAAAGTACATTTTTGACACAGAGGTCATTGTGACACATCAATTTTGTCCCTAGCCTTTCCTCCCATAACCAACAGAAACATTCCACTAACATGGAGCAATGCCAAAAGCTAATTTAAAAGTGAATGTGATCATACAGCTAGCAACATAAACGATTAAATACAATTCTTGAAACACATATGAACAAACAGTTCATAACATGAAGATTACGATAACAATTCACTAATGATGGAGTATTTTGTAAAAGAAATGCAAATGAAGAAAAAATTCTGATGGACATTGGACGAGAAGCAGAAATATTAGAAAGTGGCTTAATAAAATGCAGGTGTTGAAAATAATTGGACCATCTTCAGGAAATGTCACAGCTATCAGGAGTAAATAAGCATACCAGACGGTTACTCCAAATGCACCAGGGAACAAAGAAATTCACAACCAAAATTGGATACCTGTACTTGACCAAACAAAACATTGTTGCTAAAAGTTAGAAGATCAGTCTGATGGGTACATTTTCAGCAATTCCCATCGTGCTGATACCAAGTCTCAAATAAAGAGATCAAGTTGCTTAAAAATGAGATTAGTTACTTCACTTACTGATGAGAAATTTTATCAAAATCTTGTGCATTTAGTTTAACAGATCCTTCACCGGTTTCCTGATCATCAACCTTATCGTCATGCTTAATTATAGTAGGAACTGGTGTAGGGTCATACTCAGAGCCTGTAGCTTCGAAATGCTTATCGATCGGATACTTGCGTACTGTTTTAGTTATGTTCAACCTGTTCTGCAAAAAAGAGAAACAGAATTCGGGTGACTCATGCCCATCTATTAAAGCATAGGAGCTTCTAAGACACAATTACAACAACAACAAAAGAAGAAGAAGAAGGCCAAGCTATGAAACATGATGTTTGACTGAACTGATTTTGGTACGACTCTTCAAGGGAACAGTCGAAGACATAGATATTAGCTAACAGAAATGAAGATCATCCGTTTGGAACCTAGCAAATGATGTCGCAGGCTATGCCCAGATTAATCCCAGAAAATTATGACCGCAAGACATCAACCCTGATAAACTTAGTGACCACAATTGTTGTGGATGCCTGGAATTGAAACCAGGGATGATGTTCTTTCCCTCCTAAAAGAATGCAACATTTGGCATAATAAAAGCCTTTTATCAAGACAAAATTGAGAAAACTTGTGAACTACAATCAATGTCGCCAATAGCTTGTAATGGTTGCTAATAGGTAGGAAAACAATCTTTCTGAAAAAGGATGCATTGTATTTAATATTGGACAACCTAAAAGAGTAAGTATTGCCTTTTCTTGGAAAAGGAGGGAGTATATAATAAATGACCTAATCAATAAGAGAATAAACATATGAATTGCGTTGAAAGGATAAATTATACAAGATTATCCTGGAGTGAACAATCTAGCATGAGACTCCTTTAGGACTTTCGCTGACCACAATCAAATGGGTGACTTGCTTAAAAAAGCCTACACCTTAAACTTTACTAACATCAGTCCTCAAACATCAAAATGAACTAAACAACCATATGACCTCTACTAACCAATCACTGCATTTATGTAGCTTAAACTCGACAACTTGTTAGTTTTCATCTTATAATACTGTTATCACTTACAACAGCACTAGACATCTCTGGCCCTACTTCCACAAACAAACATAAAAGGCCGAATAGGTTACATGATGAATGGTAAGAAATGGGGTGAGGATGTTGAACAAAATGTTAGTCTGAACCGATTTCATAAGTCATTGCATCTGGTTGAATTTCAGAATTGAAGACACAAGGATATCTTAGCATGTCAGATCCATCTGCTTCCTCCAATGTAATGGAACAGCTAGCAGGAACCTTGAGACCTTGACTTCCTACAATGAGTGTCTTACTGGCATGCGTCTAGAAAGGGAGGGAGAAGAACTACAAATAAAAGAGGGTATTGCATTCTCGAAAGATGCCAGTGTTGAAGCAGGCCAGACATAAAGCCTCGCTGTTTGTAACATAACCCTTGACTTGTTCTTGAAGAAAAGCATCCAGTAAAATTAGTCATGTGGAAGTTAGAAACTAACTAAAGAAGAAGAAGATAAGTACACCAAAATAGAATGCCTTTTTCCTTGATAGCCGTGCCTACAAGGTATACAGCTAAAATAACAAACAGAAGTAAGATGATGAAATTTTACCGTTCCCAGTATATCACTCACATCCAGAGATGCAAACTCACATGATAAAGCTGGAAAACTGCATTGGGATAATTCAACAAATGTTAGTCTCCAATCCAAGCATAATGAGCACAAGTGACTTTGCTATAGTAAAATATACCGTAGCAACACCGTTTGATTGAAATGGTACTCAGGCAGCCTCATGTTTTCATGAATTTAAGAGAGATAAGTGCCAAGGCAAAGTCTGAGTAAACTAGTTAGCTTTTGTAACTTGCAGACAAGATTAGTAACTCCTTATTCCACCAACTTATAATTTTCAATCAAGATTTCAGAACGAAAACAAAAAGAGAGGGTACCAAGAAATATAAGAAAAAAGCACTAGTGAAGATCCACAACAGAGACTGGATTATCTTCATGGAGCGTACCTCATATTAAAATCAATGAGTAAGAATTCCGAGTCAGAACTTTGGTCAACTATGACAGAAGTCGTAGTAGTAAGGGCCATATAATTTTGTAGCTCCTGCAATAGTAGATGATTGTTGAAGTATAGGCACATCAATTCTTAACACTTCATTACAATGGCTTGTGACCAATATAGAAATAACAAAGTACAAAAAAACTAAACAGCATAATGTGAGCTAGAAACACTTTTCAAACTCAAATCTTCTTCCAATAGTGTCATACATATCAATGAAGAACAAAATTAAGCATCATGCCACATGAATAATAGATATGGAACATATATAGACATGAATGTTATAAAATTTAGACCATGAGGTGAGCTTCTTACCATTCCAAATAAAAACATCATAGAGATAGCTGCCACAATAGACAATCCAGCACCTGAAAGTGATGCCTCTGTCAAATCTCTTGGAATTTTCCTGATGAAATAAAAAAAATTATAGATAAATCATGTAATATAGTAGACTAACATTACTCTTAACTGACAAAGCTTATTTGAAATACTGTGGCAGTGTCTACCATATCGGTAATCGATCATTGCAGTTTGTCCAGACATTATCAGATCAGAAGCTAATAGAAATAGTTGTTTCTTCCTCCTTAATTGCATATAAAAAAATAAACATGAAAAAAAGGAGATAATCATTCGTCGCCTTGCTACTAAAAGCATATTTGCTTAATCAACAAAGTACAATGAATGAATTAAGAACCAATCACTCCGCCATGATCAACCGAAACAGTTTCTATGCATATAAAACAATTAAAAACAAGCATCGAACGCACAATCAACACAACCAATCGCCAATACTGGTTACACATGTCAACTACAATCAATAAGAGTAATGATGTGAACAGTTTGTTTCCATTATTCAGTAATTATATAATGGGAATCGGAACCTGAAAAAATCCACGGATTTGATCCTGGACGTCAAAACCATGGCTGCGAGGTGAATTTCGTCGAATTCCGGTACCGGAATACGTTTCCCTACCTCCGGCGAATCAATGAATTTTGAGCTTTCCGTTGGAAGAATGTATCCCGCTCCTTTGTATCCGAGTAACATGAGAACTGTGCGTCGTTCCTACTTTGATTTAAGGAATTACAGAAATGGTCCCTCAACTATTCTCCCACTTTCACTTTTGGTTCCAAGGGGCCATTTGACAAAAACTTAATCCGTGAGTGCTTGTTAAGTTGCATTACCTTACCAAATGAACACGTAAAAGACTGATAATCTTATTTGGTAAAAGTGTGGCAAGAGTTAGGAGCCTTATCCGGTGAGTGAGAGTGACGACTTTTACTCGATTAATCTTTACAGGGTAAATTGTTGCATACAATATTGTTCTGATGGACTAAATCTTATCTAATAAGATAAGTGATAGTGTTTGAATCTTTCCGATAAGATCTTATTGGACAAGTGTTTGGGTAAACGTCCCTTAAAGTTTGTGCACTATGATTATATAAATTCCAAAACAAATGTTTTGAGGATTTTGCTTAGGGTTGTTTGACAGTTGCTGAATGGTTCGGTGCTGAATGATTAAGAGGCTTTCATGATATAATGTAAAATGAAATATAATTATATAATGTAAAATGAAATATAATTGTTTGGTAACTATTTACAATGAAATTAGAACGTTGAATTGTTAAGGGAGGTTCATGATACAAAATCACTCAGAGGGTTTTAGAACCATTAAAAGACAGACTTTTTTTTACCAAACAAGATTCACCTCTTAACGATCAGATGGTGCATCTTAATAAAACTATTAAGAGGTAAACAAACAACCCCTTAAGGGTTTTTTTTTCTCAAACAAATTATTTAGAATGTTATTTAAAATTGATAAAAAAAATAATATTTTATTAAATACATTGAATATATTGATAATATAAAAAATATGGTTTACCCTCTTTTCTTTTAAATATACAGTATTTAAAATATATTTAATAAATTAAATTAAATAAATTATATAAAAACGATGTATTTTATTTTCGATAATGTTACACCTGTAATATTATATATTTTTTCATCTGATTTTTGCATTGTATTAAAAACGTCATTGTCCAGATAAACATTTTAAGTTACAGGGGAATGATTGTATAAGAAGGAAAATTATTTTGAAAAAAGTAAGAAGAGATCTGAACCCTTGATCAATTTTAATCTTATGCCCACCATGAATTACGTCTTAGAAGAGAATTGATCTGATACGTCTTGATATACTTCATTAGTGTTGGCATTGAATTAGGATTGATCCAAATATGGGGATCCTTTTTTACGCTTCTCACCGTAACTTATTTTCTTACTGAAACCCGATCCTTAAATGGTACTGGTAAATAGATAAATGATAATGTTGTACATGTGTAGCTTCACATATCAATTTTCACATAAAAGCTTCATATGCATGGAAAGAAAATCAGGTTTAAAATGACTTGGGATCATGTGCGACAAGACTGTTTTCATGAGACACGATTTTTATACTTGAAACTTCACAACAAAACACTGTGAAGGTAATCTTCACATTGTTTTTGTTGTGAAGATTCAGTTTTTTTACCTTCATAATATTTTGTTGTGAAGTTTTAAATGTAAAAATTATGGCTCACATGTCTTACGAAAACAGTCTTGTCTCACGTAAACCAAACCCGATTTATAATACAAGGAAAAATATATAACAATAAGTATGTCAAACTAAAAAAGTTAGACTTATTTATTTTTTTATAGTTTATTCCACTTTAAAATTTTATTATATTTAATATAATTTTGTATTTAGTTTATAAATATTAACATTACCTGAATACGAGACTTAATCATTTCACTACTAGAAAATTGACTATTTTCGGTGAAATTTCCGACAGAAACATCCGTCGGAAAAATTAGTGGCGAAATTCCGACGGACATAAAAAAAGTCGACTTTCGTGGACTTCTGCCGAAAACCCGCCACTAATTATTTGGAAAAAAAATAATTTATATTATGAGATTATTTCCAGCGGATTTCTGGTGAATTTGGCTGCCGAAAAAGGTGACCAATTTGGCAGTGTTTGAGAACCTCCATACATTATGATAGTTGTATCGAAAAATATTGTTCTGCATGATTTTATTATAATAAAGCTAAAATTTGATATATTGATTAACATATATTTGTTTTAAAATATGTTTATCTCATATGTATTCGGTTTTTTAACTGTATTTTTTGTTTCACAAATACATAAAATGTATTTGTTGTGAAACATATAATGTAAAACAAATATATGTTAAAAATCACCCAAAATTCAGACACTAGATAAAAGATAATGTGAAATAACAAACAATGCACCAATTATTAAGGTTATAGTAATTCTATGGGGCCATGGGGGTTGAGTTCACGTGAGACCAGTCTGTTTTCGTGAGACCACTTTTTTATACTTTAAACTTCACAACAAAATGCTGTGAAGATAAAAAACCCGAACTTTCACCGCAAAAACACTGTGAATGTTACATTCACAACATTTTACTGTAAAGTTTCAAACGTAGAAAAATAGTCTCATAAATCTCACAAAAACATGTTGGTCTTAAGTGATCTCAATTTATTCTATGAGTTATTATATAAAAGATCCGGTAAAATTATTGCAACCGAAACTCGTATTTATTGATGTAGGAATCGGCTGTAGCCGTTTGTTTTAGACGGCTAGCCGCATTAGCCGCGTAGCCCCATTGTTGCTCCTAATAAATCGAAACATTCCAATTTGTACATAATAAAAGAAAATATTTAATATATAAAATAACTTTGTAATAATAATTATCAAATAACCGTAATTGAATAATAATTTAATCACTAAAATTTTATAATATTAAATATTAAAATTATAAATATGTATATATAGTCTTGATGGCTGTTTGTCAGTTGATGAATGGTTTGGTATAGAATGATTAAATGGTCAGAATGATTAAGAGGCTTTTCATGATATAATGTAAAATGAAATATAATTGTTTGGTAATTGTTTTACAATGAAATTAGGGTGTTTAATGGTTAATGAAATGTCAAGATACAAAATCATTCAGAAGGTTTTAGAACCCTTAAGAGACAAACTTTTTTTTTGCCAAACAAGATTTACCTCTTAACGATTCAGATGTTGCCTCTTAATGAAACTATTAAGAGTGAAACAAACAACCCCTTAATCATTTAAGAACCCTCAAATTTATGAAGTCCATGAGAACTTATATCTTAATGTTTTATTTTACATAAATATTTTTCCATCTAAGGATTGTATTTAGTGTATCAATTATATATTTGTTTAATATTTCACAATGTGAAACTTTTTTACATGTATTTTTTGTTCCACAAACACGTCAAAAAAGCCTGCAAAGTCGCTTGATGCATTTTTAGCCAAATTCCACTGTTTTGCTTTTGTTAAAAAGTTTTTTGATTGATTTTGAGAAAATTTTAAATTTTTTGGTTGATTTCTAGAAAAAATTCTTGTTTTTGTGGTCGATTTCAAGAGACTTTTCGGTTTTCCATGGATGTTTCTTATATTTTCTAATATCACGGAGCATCATTAAGGCTATGTTTGACAAAATAGTTGATAAGCTAGCTTATTACTGATAAGCTAGCGGGTAGCTGATAACAAATCATGTTTGACAAATTAGTTGATAAAAATGTATCTTGAAAAATTAATAAATTATAATATTTTAAAATATAATTAAAAAAATCTCTAATAATATAATATATTAACTAATACAAAGAAGATGATAAAAAAATTAAAAAAATATAATATATTGATT